AATAGGATCTAGTAGAAGTGTGAGATGTTAATGCAATAAGTCAAAAGGTCAAAAGAGTTTCTAGTGACAGCACTCCATGAACCAGTGGAAGCGTTCCCGCCGCCAGCATTTGTGACAGATGTCCGGCGGAATTTGAACGCGTAGCAGCCTTCCGATTTTTCGAATTGTTTACCAAAACAAATGCAATTTTTTTGTTCTTATCGTGGACGATGGGTCTCAAGCCAGTGATTTATGGGTGAGATAGAATCATGATTTTCCGGGAAAGATTCCTTCAAGCGCTGTTCCCTATGATAGCTCATGATATTGAGATAAACGATCATCTAATCCCCACTCCCTCTTCACGCCCCAGAGAGACGTGCAAAGTGAAAAGGTGAAGCTGGCAGCCCCAGACATGACAGCACCTTTCCTAAGGAAACGAGAGGAATTCCCGATATGGTAGCGATTAAGGCTTCCCTACCTGGAATTGTTTGCTGTGCAAAACCATGAATCGACATAGTAGATAGGATCGCAGAAACATCGGCACTGAAAGCAGAACATCCACAGGTACATCCACCATTTTGACGAGGCGTGTCTCTGGTGAAATAAATGGCCACCGAATCGAGCCCGATCCTGAAAACACGAGCATGAAATTAGAGAGAATTTCAGGAAATTTTTCATTCGATAGATTCTTGTACAAGAAAAGCCCTAGTGCACAGAGAATGGTTCTAATTTGATTGAGGCGAGCAATCAGGGTGATTTTCTTAGCCACGAACCAAGGCTTCCCGAAAAAGAGGAGTATGAAAATTAGCCAAACTTATAGCTCTGTTGCAGGGATTACCTCAATTTAATGTCCTGTTTTTTTCTTTCTTGTTTTTTTTTTCTTGAAATTTCAGCGCTTCAACCCTAACGACATATACAGTACCGTGCAGTGAAGTATTCGTTTTCACTTTTTTAAACGTAATTTCCTCAAAACTCAAGCTTTCGCAGTAAAACTTCGACAGCAGTTGACACACACAGGTAGTCATATTATAGCAGCGTATCGGTGCGATAGCCTCCTTTCAAGGGGAAATGGAGCTTCATTTTCGAGTATTGTCCGCGGGCACCCAATTTCATTGTTGATAAACGATGAGTTTCCATGTTGAGAGCACGTGTGTTTTTGATGTTTTGTGTCAGTTTCATATGCCTACACAGTACTCAGAACATTCCAAGACATTAGGGAATTCATAGCTTGTGGCAGGACCAGGTGACGCCATCTTTCGGAGGTTCTACGAAGGCTTAACATCCCAGCAGATTTTTGAAGTTCAAGGAGCCCCAGTGGACGACTTGGAAGAAATTCAAGAGCATTGAACCTGCCAAAGTCAAAAAGCGCCCAGAAGTAGCAAAAATGACCTCTTCTCTCGCCAATAGAATCATTGTGCGACTTGTAAGGAGTGGCTCGCATCACGCTGCACCCGAAATTCACCGCGGATTCTCAACGCCAGACGGTCTAAATCCGTCCGAAGACAACGTGCGACGTTGTCTGAGAGATGCTGGGCACTTCTGACGTAGCTCAGTAAGAAACCGCTGATTCCCCCTCAAGAGTGGCAGAGCGCATCTCAATTAGGCTCATGCCCACAAGAAACGGACTATTAAGAGTGAACTGTGTAGGCATATGAAACTGACACAAAACCTCGAAAACACACGTGCTCTCAACATGGAAACTCATCGTTTATCAACAATGAAATTGGGTGCCCGCGGACAACACCCAAAAATGAAGCTCCATTTCCCCTTGAAGGGAGGCTATCGTATCGATACGCTGCTATAATATGAATACCTGTGTGTA